CCCCCCCCCCCCCCCCCCCCCCCCCTCAAATGTGTTTGAAACAAATAAGCCCTCCGAGAAGCCTAATAGAGGATTTACGGTAAGAGATCTTTCCTCAGCCTAGGCAGTAAATATATATATATATATATATATATATATATATATATAGCACAAAGGTGATGTTATACCTAATTGTAATTACCCAAAAAGGAAAAATGAAAAATAGGAATAAGTCAGATAAGAATTAATTATAGGCTTGCTAATAAACCACTATAAGGTGCACTCATTTGCAGCATAGACTTTTTGAAGGCGTAAAAACAACTGCAAAAGTGAAGGCTGTTGGCGTATGTTGTAAATGAATGCACCCTATGTGTTGCTTAATTAGTGATTATTAGTAAGCCTAATTTGAGGATCGTTGAAGAACTGCTCTGCGAGGAGCCTGATTGGCTTACCCAGCAGTATGGAGCCGCGAGTTCTTGACCAGTAATAAGTAATGTCGAACGTGCTCCGACAATGTGAAGTAGTTGAGAGACTTTCAGACGGAAAAGGCGATCTATTTTTAAAGTAACACTTAGATTTGTAATCCTTGACTGAGTTTGTTACGCGTTTTCTACCTTACATTTTTATCCTGTTCCTTCTCTCTTTTCTTCCTCAGTTTCTTGCTGTTTCGTTCTCTGTTTTTCTTTCTCCGTTTCTTTCTCTCTCTTAGTCTTTCTTCTCTTTCCGTTTAGTTACAGATTTTCTCCATTTTTATCTTCTATCCCTTTTAACATATCTTCAAAATAATTAATTAATAATTCAGAAAGAAAAAACACAAGAAATTAATGTTTAATTAGTGTCTTAAAGACACGGCTAAACTTTACGTCCATGACATCACAGCTCAATTGACCAATCATGTCAATAACTAAAGTTAAATACTATTAATTTAAGTCCCAAGAGTGATCAAGGTCAATTTTCTCCAATAATATCAATACGTAACAAAAAGTAAAGGTTATAATGATTACCTAAAAGAAACTGCTCTGATCTTAAAACAAATTCTCTCAACTAATTCTTTAAGAAAATGTATAGAGATCAGTCTGGAGAATTTGTATGTGGATATTGGAATTACAGGGGTTAATTAGCACAGAAACCTTGTGAGTTAATTTTCAGCATAGTGGTTTAGCTGTATCTGGACTTCATTTGTGCGTGTGTTTTGTAGGTTATCTTGGGAAGAAGAATCGAATGTATCAACAGGAGACGACAATTCGCCAGGGGGTAAATGTGAGTTGTTTTTACATACCAAGTGGCAGTTAATTTTTGCGAGAGCTTTAACGTTGTACATACGTGAACTGATTTTTGCGATTGGTCCAATCTGCTTTTATCACTGGGAGTTAATTACACGAGTTTTGTACGTTCAGTTGAGTCAAAATACAGGCGAACCAACGTCCACGTAACTGGGTAAGTTGTCTCCCTCCCAAAAGGGGAGTGTGCGGCTAATTTTCGCGATTTAATTTTTCTTACTTTAGTTTTTTTTTGGTGAAAAAATTCATAAAAATTGCTAAAATTTAGTGCCACACGATTTTAGATTTGATGATTGAAAATAGACCTTGTCACGCTTTTGGAAGCCAACTTGATGAGTAGGCAACTGCGTGGAAAATTGCAGTGTTTGATTGAGAATCTAATGTCGAATATTTTTCGTAAAACGGCTGTTCTGAAAAAAAATATATGATAAGTTGTAAACTTAAGGTGGCTCCGTCATTAATATTAGAGCATTTTGCTGTGACAAATTTTCCGTCATGACTTTTTCGTTTTTAGAACGAATGATATCTGTTGCTCTCTGCAAAGTTTCTCAGCCATCGCGTTAAAAACGAAAAAGTTATGACGAAAACTTTGTCACAGCTAAATGCGCCCGTATTAATTACGGGACCACCTTAAGCTACACAGCAAAGGATTCTACTAACAAACACTGTGCTTAAATTTCTCCAGACGCTTGCTATAGATTTTCTATATATTTGTCTACAATTTTTCCCGGGAAATTT